TTCGTGAGTCACGTTGTGTGTATGTATGTATGTATGTACCAGAAAACGCAAAACCTCAGGCTGTTCAAAACGAACAAAGACAAAGTGAAAATACCTCTGCTGTCTTATAAACAACAAGTTTCTCTCCTGTGTCACTCTGACAACCAGCGTCCATAATCTCGGAATATTAAACTGCCGTAACTGTCTACTGACTAATATCATTTACGCTCCATAACATTAACTACCATAACATAGCTTTAAAAGTCTGCCACATCGTTCGTCGATCTCGCAGCACCTTGACGCTCGCCCACGGACTGCTTTTACAGGAATACTCACTAAAACATTTACAAGCGAATAATAATTTTTCTCCTGCTTCTGGATACAGTCCCCGTCACACATGAGAAAGCGGAAAATAAAAAGAAAATCCGATTAACGCAAACCGGAGTCCTTTAGTGAACAAAATTTACAAACACTAAGGAAAAATAAAATCCTCAATAACCTTAAAGCTGGTCTGTGTTTTCATTACTTTCACCCCCCTCCCTCGTCCATCTTTCCTACCTTTCCTCCTGCCCCTCCCAACATCCAAATTTCCCTCCTGCCCCTCCCTACATCCTAATTTCCCTCCTGCCCCTCCCTACATCATAATTTCCCTCCTGCCCCTCCCTACATCACAATTTCCCTCCTGCCCCTCCCTACATCCTTATTTCCTCCTGCCCCTCCCTACATCCTTATTTCCTCCTGCCCCTCCCTACTTCCTAACTTCCCTCCTTCTCCTTCCTCAACAAACTTACCTTTCCTTATCAACCACAATACACTGCTGGGTCCACCACAAAGGAAGCCTTAATGAAGGTCCACCTCTTTCCACTTAACCTCAGCCACCACCTTTGCCAAGAATTGTGTCAAGACCTCCCCAATTTCTATCCACGTCCTCCCGCCCTCATTCACACCCAATATCTCCAAAACCCACTCTCAATAACGCTTAATACCTCCACCACAGCCCCCCCCCCTGACTCTCAATACCTCCAAAAGCCCTCAATAACGCCCAACATCTCCACCACCGCCCACAGTCACGCCCATTATCTCCTCCACCACCCACCCTCAATCACGCAAAATACCTACACCTCCCGCCCTCAATCAGGCCCAACAACTCCCCCCCCCCCCCGGCCTTCAACCATGCCCACCACCACCACCACCACGATCAACGTTCACTCAGCTACTTTAATACAGTGTCAATACCATAAGAGTTGGAAGGTGGTTCATGCATAAAACTATTATAATAATAATAAACTACATACCTGAGATCATGAAAACTCCACATACTATGAGGGCAAAAAAAAACTTATTTTAAATCAACTTAAATATGAAAATCTTAATGAAAACTTAGGACAAAACTGCAGGAAGACTTTAGGTCACCTGGATGATCAAATCAATGATGTATGACCCTTATGGATTTACCGATTCCACATTAAAACAATAAGTGGCTGCTTAAGATCAATCACAATAAGTGCAAGAACCTGTATTTCGAAGAGAGATCAGAAAGGAAATATAACGTAATATGAAAGAAACTACGAATATCGTCCAAAGAAGGATCTGAGTGAACATCACACCCAACATATTGCCGAAGGTGCACGTCAGCTATATGATTTCGGCAGCTAATACTCGGCTAGCAAATTTCGTAAACAATCTTCAGAACCTTAGTAAAAGAGGCCTTTATGTCTCTGAATACAATGCACATCAAACCAATCTTAGAATATCAGCGTGAGATTTCTATCTGACCAACGATGTTTAGAAGCTTGAAGTGGTCTAAAGTCTTGCAAGTCCCAGAGCTGAGGAGGGTATGCGAGTTCACATACTAAAACAACTGAATCTGACGGCTCTGGAAGAGAGGACCAGCAGAGACATGATGACACACAGGAAACTCCTAGGAAATGAGTGACATGCGAGACCCAGAAATGAACAGAAACAGATTGAAAATAAAAGCACAGATATGTTAGGAAGTAATTTTTTAGTGCTAAAGTAACAGAGAAATGGAATGAAGGGTTAACACGTTAAGAGAGAAGGAAAGGTTAGCTCCAGCTTTGTACTCGTGAGGAAGGTAGACACGCTTGGATGACCACATCCCCCTCACCCCAACCCAAGGCCCTCAAGTACTCATTATCAACACCTGTACTATCTATACCAACCTTACCCCACACTCCAGCACAAGGCCTTCAGATATCCATTATCAACACCTATAACATCTACACTAACCTTCCCCAATCCCGTCTCCTCGCCCCAACACAAGACCTTCAAATATCCATTATCAATACCTGTACCATTTACACCAACCTCACCCGAACACAAAGCCTTCATGTACTCATTACCAACACCTGTGCCACCTTCACCAACCTATCCCCCCCTCCCCTCCCCCATTCCACCCCAACAAAAAAGCTCTCACGTGCTCGTCACGACAATGGCGTTTAAATTAAAATAAAATGAAAGTTATTAAAAAAGAAATGAAATCACAACTGAATTTCACTGCGTTGTTAAAGTTGGTAGTTTATAGTGCGCCTCATATTTAGCTTATGGCGAGTAAACGTGAGCTTATAAACATACAAGATCCCTGCAGTAGGCCTACTGGCCCATGCTAGGCAGATCCAACTCCTATCCACACCCACTCGTATACTTGTCCAACCTATATCTAAAGTTATCCGAAGTTGTCGACCTAATGACGCTACATTAGGTCGACATCTACAATTCTACCGCCAAACAAGTACTTCCCTCTACTCTTTCTAAATCTAAATTTGGTCAGCCTGAATCCACTGCTGCAAGCCACATCTTGGTTAGATATTTACAGCACGTAATTTGCACCACTTTTATTTATTCCTAATTTCCATTTGAACAGTAATTATATTCCCCCTAATTCCACATCTCTCCAGAGAGTGCAAGTTCAGTGCCGTTAGCCTATCTTCGAGGGAAAGGTTCCTGATACATGGGATCAACTTCTCCTCTGTATATTTTCTAGGGCATATATGTCCAGTAACAATGAACTGCCACTAAAGAACAAAAATACAATACTGTGACTGGAACAATAAACAAATAAAGTACGAATGTCAATGATCCAAGTCGGACAGAAACGTCGTTTTAAGTTTCTCTTTCCTATGTGAGGGTTGTGTATAATTGCCACTACTTTTGCACTGCTGTCTTGCCTTTATATCCCAGCTAACTAGAACTCAAACCTTTTTTCGCAGTTTGAATAAAATCTACATGATTTGGATTATAGAATATAATAATTTTCTTTTCCTAGGATTTGAACCTTACACTAGTTTGCATTGACCTACATCTGCCACTTCTCTGACCACGACATCAACATATCCATGTGGTCCTGCAGTTTTCTAGAGTACTTATCAGAAATGATCCAGTAGTTAATAATCATTGCATGATTATTAACTACTGGAATTGTATTCCCTTCTGGACATTTAATGTCTGTGATGAGTGTTTAGTAAATTTCATTTAAATACAATGTTAATTAAGAATAATGACCTTCACGCTAAGGAGTCACTCAGCTCCCTCATGTTACGGAGACGCTGAGCTCCTTCATGGTAAGGAGTTACCGAGTTCCTTCATGGTAAGGAGTCACCAAGCTCCTTCATAGTAAGGAGTCATCGAGCTCCTTCATGGTAAGGAGTTACCGAGCTCCTTCATGGTATGGAGTCACCAAGCTCTTTCATGGTAAGAAGTCTGGTGATTTTTATGCAGTCAAGAATATTTTTGAAAGCTTCGTTATGGAGTGAGTGGACAGAGTCACCTCACACCCACCTAGGTGAAGCTGGGTTCTTCACTCCGCAGAGTTTGATCATTTCACATCTATCAGAACTAGGTTTTCAAAAATTTAAGTGAAAAGGATATTGTTGAGGGCTATAATACACTGTGTGAACACATTCATATCTTTATGTACGTGCGTGTGTGTACTCACCTAATTGTGGGTGCAGGGGTCGAGACTCGGCTCCTGGCCCCGCCTCTTCACTGACCGAGTATTAAATAAATTTATATTTAACACCACCGGTCGTCTCACACCGAGGTAATCACCCGTTAGTTATGTGTGTGTGTGTGTGTGTGTGTGTGTGTGTGTGTGTGTGTGTGTGTGTGTGTGTGTGTGTGTGTGTGTGTGTGTGTGTGTGTGTGTGTGTGTGTGTGTGTGTACTCGCCAAGTTCGTGGGGTCGACTATTAAATAAATTTATATTTACCACCACCGGCCGTCTCACACCGAGGTAATCACTCGTAAAAGAAGAAACACCTTCACCATCATTCATTCAATCACTGTCTTCCCAGAAGCGTGCCAGTGTCAAAATATCAGTAACAAAATGGATTAAACTGGTACTTACAAAATGTAATGAAAAATGAAAATAAAATTTTAAAATAAAATTATGAATATAAAAATACACAACATATTATAGAGAAAATTGAATTCACAGAGTTGAAATGAGAAGCTAAAAACATAACGAATCCAGCCATTTCTAATTAACTATAAACATGGAAGACCACAGAAACTAGACACAGGTACAGAGATTAAGCAAGAGAAAAATGGTAAAAAAGAAGTAAGCCAAAATATTCTTCACACGTCCGGACAAAAGCAAGTGAAAGCGGCCAGGGCAGAAGGATCAACAGTAACTATTGTTATCAACACTCGACGCAACTTTCAGACGCTGAACACCACACCAACTTATCCAGAACGAAAAATTTATTAACATGGCTTGAAACCAAGGAAAATTTTTGCGATACTAGTCTTTCCCTTCCCCTTGCATGACACTTCTTGGGTATAAGAATATGGAGTGAACAGTCCTAGCCTTCCTGCCTTTAGTCACATCTTCCTAAGCTTTCCCTTTAAACAGCGACCTTCACAGTACTACAAAAGAGTAACCACAGCACCCAGAGAACCTTTGCCACTGCCACAGCTCTCAAATAAGAACACGGCAGCAGCACACTGCTGATGCACTATTAGAAAGAATTCAATCTTGCTCTGGCATCCCCCGGGACCTACCTGCTCGAGGTCAAGTGTGATGGTGACCCACTGGTACTTCCTGCCGGCGGCGAGGGTGGGGGACTGCCACCACGAGTGTGTACCATCTATGGCGTTGGTGATGGGGTGTTGCCTGGTGGGGTCTGGAGAGCGTGCGTCACACACACCACACTGAGGTGCACGGTTCCCAGAGTGATCTGTCAGCTTGCAATACACCTGTGGATGGGCAGACACATCCTCACATTAATCTAGTCCAATGTTTACCACACGTATCCAAAACTATACTAATAATTCAAATGTGGTAAATACTCTAATAATCTCAATAGCTTATACATATTACATTTCTGTTGATTAAGCTTAGTACTTTTTTAAATACTTACAGGTAATTACGTAATATACTCTGGAATATTTTTTTTATTCTTGAAAGAACAAAACAATACAGTGAGTGATGCAATTCACAGCTAAGCCACAAAAATATAGCTGAAAACTTGTACGACGTTTCGGTCCGTCTTGGACCATTATCCAGTCATCCAATTTTCACTGCCAATGTGTTTGTTATTTCTACTGGTTTCATTAAGAGTCTCGATTATATATATATATATATATATATATATATATATATATATATATATATATATATATATATATATATATAAAGGCAGGGTCTCTTGCCAAGCCTTAGTCACGTGGCTTCCTTTGAACTGTGCATGGGTAGGGCGGAAGCCCAGTCAGTTACATCCAGACCTAGGCATAGGCAGACGTTGATCAGCTGGCTCCATCTTGACATTACGATACATGCATATAAGTCCATCCGGTTGTATTCTTGCTACCATCACTTTCTTAAACCTAACCCCGACAATATTAACAGAGCACTTTGACCATGTAGGTCACTCAGCGAACTTGGAATAAAAATTTCATACAACACACACAATAAAGACAGAAAAAATGACAAAAACGGTGAACATGAATAAAATGCATAACACAAATAATATCATACAAAGTCGAAATAACAAGTATCAGTCAAAAATAGCATTTAATGTTAAAAGACTCCTAAAAGTTCCCCGAAGTCTCTACAGGCACCTCGATAATTGTAAAAACCATGAAGGAGGAAAGCTTAAGCAGAGGGTGCGCTGTTAGAGTGTGTTCCACAGTCAAAGGGGAGCAGGATCACTTGCAAACAGGTGGCTATTGGTGAAATGTGAGTGCCTGATCCTCGATAGACAGTGACGATTTCTGCTGAATCTTGTACAACTTACTGCTTGTTTGTAGGGCCCAGTGGGCCCGCCCTTCCCGACGACATATGTGTATACTAAATGGACCATTCAGTCACTGTAATGCAAAGTCTGCTAAAGAATGGTTTCGTTACAGCCATGGGCTCAGCATCCGCCTGTTCACTTCCCGGGATACCAACATGGCTCAGGCAAAAACAGACCACCACATCCTTGCGCAGCACGTGGAGATGAGCTAACCACTCCTGGATCTTTTGGCAAACAGGGAAGGCAGCAGCATATTATGCCAGGCTGACAGAGTAAACTGGGAATCTGGGTACAGAGTGAACCGAGAACCAGCTAAGCCAGCTATCAGGACGACCCAACTGTGGTAACTGATCAAAATCTTTAGTACTCCTGATACCGCCTGTGTACCACCTGGCCACGATCTTAAGACAGGTGGGACCGCTTGGCCCCTCGAGCTATAAGGCCACAGCAACAAAAATGATGCAAGTTGTCCAGGTTAGGGCAAGGCAAGAACTATGAAGCCATCCCACGCTTTCCATCACTTTCCACTCCCTCAACCACTTCCCACGTCCTACAGGTAGCCACGCCTTACAAATCACCACGCCCTCACACGCCGCAACTGCTATCTCGACACCACGCCTAACAAAGGCACCACGTCCTGAAAGATTAACTCTTCTGCCTACTGTCCCAACTTTTGCGTCCTAATTTGGACACTGACAATAAACAGAGCCAGCTGCGGAGTTTGAACCACGGGTGCTGGTCTGCCTCTTGCTAGGGTCTAGACCACTGCTGGTCTGCTCTCCTTGCTCGAGTCTAGATCAGTGTACAACACCAGCAACCATGAATATTGCTCGTACACCTTTTCCCTCTTATTCCCCTCTGCATTATTTACGTATTCACTTCTTCGAGAGACGTATTCTAAATACTCTCCCCTTCTTCCTTTATACTTTCCTTCTCCTATCTTCTCTTCCTCCCTTCCTTTCCTTTCTCCACCTATTCTCGCCTTTCCACTTTCCTTTCTTTCATACCTTCTCATTCTTCCCACCTTTCTCCATTCTTCATTTCCCCTCCTTCGCTCCTTACCCTTGCCCTCCTGGACGAGGAGTCAGGAGTCGGGGAGTCAGTGGTGGGGGGTTCATGGGAGGTACCAGGGCTTGGGGAGTCATGGGTGGAGTTAGCCAGGCGAAGATGAAGCAGCTGATGCATGAAACAACTCCCTAAAGAATTCACCCGCCATAAATTATCTAATCACGTCCAATACCGTAAAATAATTAATCTCCTCTAAGCGAGAACCCCGGCACCGAGATGCTGGTTCATGCCGCCGCTGAATATTTTGTAACTTTGTGCCAAATTTATGGATAAACGTTTATATAGTAGATATTCAAGCTTGTGTATATCTAAACTTGTAGATGCCCAATCTTATGTAGATACGCAAACTTGTCTGTTGGTGAATATCTGGTCGAGATCAACAGAATCAACGAATAACTAAAGGGTAATGAACACTTGTCTATGCTCAATAATAACCCACATGGAGACAAATTCAGGAGATTCACTTATCTGTATATTTCGACTCCCTTCTGGTATCTTCTTCAGCAGATACACAAGTGAAAGGAGAAAATGAATTTATAGGGGAGGTTGCACCTCTCATCTCCATGTGGGTTATTACTGAGTCTCAGAATCAATGTTGATAGCAGAGTCTCCAATACTATTTGTGCTCAATTACCCACACGGTTTTAACGCTCCATGAAGTAAAAAGAAATAAAGGATATATCAAACTGACATGGAAATAAAAACAATGGTAGCAGATAATCCTTTTTAATTCAACGTTTTGTTCAAGGCTGATGTTTATCAAGTATTTGATAAAACCCAGCCTTGAGTTAAACATGGTATTAAAAGGATTATCTGTTACCAGTGTATTTATTTGTGCATGTCTGCTTGTGCCATATTCTACCTGATAAACTTATGTAATTCAGTTTATCATGGTCTCGTGGTAGACTACTTACTTTCTGTGCGCTTCCTTATACCAGTTCCTTTTTCATTCCGTTATGATTTAGGCCAAGCCTATAGAAGTTAATTTTTTTTCAGTTTCTTCTAATATACCTCTCTTCATTCAATAAAATTACGATCATCCTAATATGAATAATGGCTACATTAATAGCAAAAAAAAAAATGGTCCGAGACCGAGGTGCGGGAGCGATGATACCCGGAACTATCTGCAGGCAGACATGAATCCTGCCAGACTCCGCATTCCTTTACTTTTGATGGTTTTAGAGTTTCCCGCCTATTTCCGCAGCCAGGCCCTGGGCCAGGCTTGTCTGGTGCTTGCCTGGTCGGGCCATTGTTAAGGCTCAATACACAAATGACCCGCACATAGATGAGAGGAGCTTACTACGACGTTTCGGTCCGACTTGGACCATTTTAGTGATTGTAAATGGTCCAAGTCGGACCGAAACGTCGTCGTAAGCTCTTCTCTTCTATGTGCGGGTCATTTGTGTATCGTTCCAGTCACGGTATTGTACCTTTTTTGTTATTTATGGCTCAATACTTTAATACTGATAATTAAGTTACCATGTCTCAATAAAACTGGCAATACAGTCATTACAAAGAGAACGGAAAACAGCTATTATTAAAACACTTTTTTTTTAAATGAACATTGTTTAACAGGAATGAATAAATTCATCGGCAACGATTGCATTATATTTTCAAGAGCACTAAATTCATAAGGGTCATACTGTGCTTTGGGAATACGAAGAAATCACCTATCGTCGCATGTTATTCACCCGTCGATATTCAATCACAGACTACGGTAAACATTAATGCCTTAAACGTTCGTGGTATTCTAACAGAACTGATAGTTTAAATAGTGACGGTCGGGGATAAATATCTGAATATTTTCACAATCCCTTGCCTGTTAATTTTTATTGCAGCAAGATTTAATTTAATTCTGATTTCAAGTGTAAGGTCATATTGTTACTTTACCTTCGATGAGTTTTGAGAGTTTTTCTACTCCCGGAGCCCGGCCATGGGCCAGGCTTGTTTTCATTATAATTCTAAAGAAGCAATAGTACTCACAGCTTTAATGAATCACTGGAGATATATAATAACTAAAAAAAAAATTAAAGGGGTCGACCGGTAAGCCAGCGGAAGGCCTCGGTCATATCCCCAAAAGCTCCAATGGCGGGTCATCATCTGACTAAGACCTGGTGCATATTAAACATACAGATAGATTCAAGCAAAATAAATCCCCTGGTTCCGACGAACAGTTTTCAGGTGTTCTTAAATAATAAAAACTGGAACTTGAGCTACTAACTAGTCTTTCCAATATATTACTACAAATGGGTATCGTACGTGATATGTAGATGGTTAATGTGATTTTTATTTGCAAAATGGGAAGCAAGTCCTTACCATCGAATTAACGCCCAATCATCCTGACTTCAATATTAGAAAAATTATGAGAATCAATAATAGCAGACGTAATTAGAAGCCAGGCTGACAACATAATTTGGATAGTCACAACAGATTAACATAATACCATTTTTGTCAAAAAATTTACTTACTTTCTTTAGTAAGGTATTTGAGACAGCGGACAGTTAGAAAGAAAATAACTTTTACCTGGCTTTCACAATATTTTTTTCTATTTTTAGCTATACGTATTAGTTATTCACCGCTCCACTTAAGGGTCGAAATGACACCAGACGTAGAACGGTCAGGAAATGTCAACTGCAGCATTATAAATGGTGAGAAAATGTACCCAACCTGACGCAAATTTAACCTGAGATATGCACATGTTCATATTCGTACTATTACCTAAGACACCTGGTATAGTTAGTATTGTGTAAATGTTTCCTTGAATAATGTTATGTTGATGTTAACCGTGTACAAAGAATAAAAGACAAAGAAAGAATGCCACAACATACCCGTTATCACAAAGTAGCATAATTTCCATAAGAGCCTGACGCGGGAAGTGATGGACTGTCTAAG